GGAAAGAATGCAAGATTAAAATCAGAGAACCTAGGTTAAAAATCTCACTTATAGACTTACTTAACAGCCTTTGTGACCTTGAACCTTTGTGACCTTTTACATCTCCAGGTTACTTCCTCCTCTGTGAAATGGGGGTGAACTAGATGGTCACTACAATTCTTTCCAATTTGAATTCTATGATCCTAAGAATTAGATTTCTTCTTCTTAGCTTCAGAGGGCAGAACTAAAACTGCTGGGAAAGAAGGTAGAGAGGGTCCAATGTGGAAATTAGACCCTCTGCATGTGTGCACACAAGCACACGCAACATTCACACTTTGTTGTTCAGTCATTTTAGTTGTGTCCAACTCTTCATGACCTCATTTGAGATTTTCTTCACAAAGATACTGGAGTGGTTTGTCATTTCCTTCTCCAACTCATTTTACAAATGAGGAAACTCAGGCAAACTGGGTTAAGTGACTTGCCCAGGATCACACAGCTAGTGTCTAAGGATAGATTTGAACTCGAAGATGAGTCTTTCTGATTCCAAGCCCAGTGATTTATCCACTGTACCATCTTGCTGCCCCTGCACACTTTATTTTATTGAGAAAATTGAAGCTCTAAGAAGGAAAGGGTCTTGCCCAATGTCACAAAATTAATTTATGGCAGAGTAAGGACTTGAATTCAGGTCTCTTAACTCAGTCCACTCATTGCTTCCTGATGTAAGTGTGCAGATGCCCTAAAACATGAGATTTGATTCATCCAGGCCTTCTCACCTACCAGACTCAGGGCCCCTGTGGTATGAAAATCTCTTTCCTCAGAGTGGTAGAAAGACCAATACACATACACTGTTGGTAGACTGTGAATTGGTTTAACCACCCTGGAAAACAATTTAGAATTATTCTAACAACAAAATATATAAATATCTATAGCTTTTGGCCCAGATATTCCAATGCTAGGGTTATACCCTAAGGATGTCAAAGATAAGAAGGTCTATATGCACACAAATATTCATAGTAGCACTTTTACCTAGTAGCAAAGAACTGGAAACAAAGTAGATGCCCATCAATCAGATGACTAAGCATATGTTAGTGCAGGAATGTAATGGAATAATACTATGCTGAAAGAAACAATGAATTCAAAGATGTGTAGGAAGACAAACACAAACTGATACAGAGTGAGGTAAGCAGAACTGGGGGGAAATGTGTTCAGATGACAACAATTTAAACAGAAGGAAGAGCAACGGCAACAGAGCTGTGTGCTGTCTAATTATAGTGACCAAGCTTAGCCCCAGAGAAGAAGCAATGAAATGTACTTGCCTCCTTTTATCAGCAAGGTGGAGGACCATGAGGATGGATAATTGCTTATACTGTCTGACCCAACTGATGAGCTGGTTAGTTTTAGAGGACTATGTTTTTCTCCTTTTTTATGGTTTGTTACTAGGGGAGGATTGGGAGGGTCAGTCAGTCATTTTTTCAGTCATGTCCAATCTTTGTGACCCCATTTGGGGTTTTCTTGGCAAAGATACTGGAGTGGTTTGACATTTCCTTCTCCAGCTCATTTTACAGATGAGGAAACTGAGGCAAGCAGGGTTAAGTGACTTATCCAGGGTCACACAGCTAGTGAGTGTCTGAAGCTTATTTGAACTCAGGTCTTCCTGACTCCAGGCCCAGCACTCTATCCACTGTGCCACCTAATCATTAGCAAATGTGACATAAAAATAAAAGATATCAATAAAAATTAGACTTCAAAAAAGTCTCCTCTCCCCTCCTCAGTGACTTGTTGAAGTCATATATTTGAGCTATGAATGGAAAAGCTATATTTACAGTATAAATAGTGTTGTACTTGGTGTAAAGAGATCAGGGTCCTATTCCAAGCTCTGCTACTTATGAGTAATATAAGTTTGGACAAGTGGCTTCTCCTCTCCTGGCCTCAGTTCTTCATCTATAAAGTGAAGGAAGATGGACCAAGTTGTTTCTAAGATCTTCTCCAATCCTGTGACTATCTGATCGTGCACTGACAAGGATTCAGGAATAAATTAGCTGTCAAAATAGTGGGAGCTCTTTGCTTCTTGCCTCTGATCTTGTCTGCGCGTAGTTGTTTTCATGTTGTTTCTCTGATGATACTTTGAGCTACTTGAGGGCAGGCACAGTGTTTTTGCTTTTCTCTATATCCTCAGTATTTAGTATAGTGCCTGGTAAATAGTGAGTGCTTAATAAATGCTTGTGTGTAGAAAAATCTATCAATTCATACAGGGAGATACATCAGATTCCTTTTTTTTTTGTCTCCTGCATAGAAACAAAGCAGTTGAGCACTGAATGAGTTGATCTATGGTTTCTCATAGTTACTCTTTGTCCTGAATGCTCATGTATTGTAGGAACAGTCCTTATTGACATGGGAACAAGCCAGAGAATGCAGACGATGACCTGGGAAATTCAAGACAAAATCACACACACACACACACACACACACACACACACTGCTCTAAATATACAAATAATTGAGGTACTTGCTGGGTCTGAGAACTGAAAAGGCCTCAGTCTACAGTTGAGGTTATTGTCTCAGGTCTCTGCTCCCCTTTGTGGAGTCAGAGCGTCCCAAAGATATTCCTGGCATTGCCCATTTGCACATTAAGATCATCCTCAACTTCTCTGGAAGTCAGGCCATATTCACACCAGTGCTTCTGGTAATCAACAGCATTGGCCTCTAAAGGGCTGCCAAAGCATTTGGGCTATTAGCCCATATTCTAAATGTAGCCCTTTACACATGTGGACCCCCTTCCTCATCAGTGGGGATGCCTGGACAAAGCCATCATCTTTCACTGTTTTGGTTGTTCCTCTTTCTCTAGCCTGAATTTGCATTCCTACTGGCACAAGCCTCATTAAAGGGACTAACACAAGTTATAAGGTCTTATGTCAGTGAATCACTGGGAAGAAAAGACTGTATGGCATTCGAAGCCTGCTCTCCCTGTGAAAACCAAGAACTTTCTTTCCTCGTTGCTTACAAACAGCAACCCGGATACTGGTCTTGGACCCAAATGAAGTCAATAGTTGCCAACCTCGAAAAAGTGTAGTGTTGTGCATAGAGGGCTGGTTCAGACATTGGGAGGGAATGGATTTGAAGCTTGATATGCCTTTCACACTTACTAGCTGTGTGACCAGGGGTAATTCACTTAGTGATTCTGAGTCTCAGTCTTCACATTTGTAAAATGGGGACAAGAAAACATATACTCACTAGAAAGTTCTGGTAAGAAAGAGCTATGTAATGTCAGTTTCTTGTTAATTTTTTGATCCATATCTGTGATTTCACTTAGGGAACCTTCAATGTGGAAATTCCCTCCACTGATCCTAATCAGTAACTCAACTATTACAGTACTATGATCTTGGTGAGTTGCTGGTGTAGTGAGAGGTTAGGTCTCACTGATAATATATGTCAGAGCCTAGACTTGAACCCAGGCCTTCTTAGCCTGGCCAATTATCTACCTCACTAGGCTTCATCTCCATGTATTACATCAGGAAGATGGATTCATCTTCCCATTGCACTTACCATCCAGAGCTGTACTTGGCTTATCATCCCCAGCATCTAACCCAGTACCTGACACATTGGAGGGCTTAATATATTCTTATGGAATTCAGCTGAATCATGGTTCCCTATAGTGTTCAAGGCTGGACCGAGCACTCTCTGAGGGCAAGAACTCCCCTTTGAGCTTCTTTTGTGTCCCCTATAGGATGCACAGCATGGGCACAATAGTTAGTTGAATGACTTTCCACCCCATCAAAAGTACATCCAATGTAAAAGACACTGGCAAGTGGTCATGCTATCTACCCATGTGCAACATCTGGGGAGGAGGCAAGGATAGCCTCCAGAAAGGTGAGTGTCCTACAGAGGAGAGAACTTTAGGTGAAGTGTTTGTGAAAGGTCCCCATTGGTCAGGTATAATCTTGGCAAAGGAGCTTATGAATGGGGGTTCCATATGTCAGCCCTCTTCTTTTACCCCATTAAACCTAGCACATAGAGATGTCTGACTTGTGGTCTCTGTCCTACTGGAGAATCCTCTTTGGCAAAGTGGTTTCTTAATCTCAGGACTCCTTCCTCACCCCCTCCCCAGCACTCCTCCCAAAAGGGATCTGGAGCATGGTCCTGCGACAGCCTTCAGTGAGATACTCAGCAGAACTTTATTCACCACCTGGGTTGTCTAAAAGCTACTCCATTTCCTTGGCCAAAATCCATATACTCCCTGGCTCTTAAAAGGCTGCAAATAGGAGTTGGGGGGGGTGTCTTGAAAGTCTCCCAGTACAAAAAAAAAATGGTTAGCTGACCATGGTCCTGGAGTGACAGCTGCTAGAGGACTCAGGGTGGGGCAGATGGAGGTATGGACAGATGGAAGAGGGTGGGGGTGGGGAGCCAGAGAGAGGAGTCAGGGCTCTGGGCTGCCGGGTGGGAAACTATCTGATTCCTCGGCTGCCCTCCCTTGAGCTGACATGGTAACCCAGAGGGAACCGCGTGGTGTGGAAACAGCCAGATCTCCAATACCATGCTACTCTGGCTGCATTTTCAGGATCTGCATCCAAAAAAAAAAAAAAAAAGGGTGGGGCATTCTGCTACAACCGCCATCCATGGCTATGGCCAGGAGTGGGATCAGATTGTAATCATTCCAAAGGATGCTGATGCAGGTTTCCATCTGCCTGCGTCCCCACTCCCACCTCCTTCCAGCCCTGACATTTTTTTTTAAAATTCCTTCCCTAAGGTGGGGCATCGCTGAAGGGATACAGCATCTCTGGCGCACGAACTATCCTCTCCTCTCCTGCATGCAGGGAGGAGTGGGGCTGCCAGTAGGTGTGTGTGGATGTGGGCGTGGGCGTGGGTGTGGAGGGGGAGTCAGATTCCCGGAAGGGCAGCAGGCTGCAGCAGGGGACCCCCTCCCGACGCCTGCTGGGGGTGCGGCCTCTTCTCCAGTGGGAAGGGTGGTCTCCGTGTAGCGCCCCAGTCTGCCCCTCTCCCCAGCCCACCTTCCCTAGACCCACCTGGTCGTTGATGTTCTGCAGGGCTTCCTTGCCCGTGGCCCTCCGGATCTCCACCTTCCTCCCGGACGATTCAACAGATGGCTGGCGGCCGGGGCCGTGTCGGGAGTAAGGGGGCTGCCCGTCTGAGCCCAGGTGGGCCACGTCCCGCTGCTGGGCCACCACCTGACCCGAGCCCCTGCCCACCGACAGAGAGTCGAAGTCGATGGTCTTGTTCTCTGACGAGCCTTCCACTGGGCAGAACATGCCGCAGAATTTCTGCCGGGGCTTGGGACTGCCCGAGCCCAGGTTTTTGAAAAAGGCTGGGACCTCCTCATCCTCCCCCTGCTTCCCTGACGAGCCTTTCCTTTCGGCCATGGCTCCGCCGCCGCTGCTGCCGGGGGCTCCGGGCACTGCTCGCTGGCTTTGCCTCGGCTAGCTGTGCAGCTCTGCTCTGGCTTTGGCTCGCTGGGTGTGTGGCTCTCTCTCTTTCTCCCTGCCTCCCTCCTCTCCTTTTCTTCTCTCTCTCTCTCTCTCTCTCTCTCTCTCTCTCTCTCTCTCTCTCTCTCTCTCTCTCTCTCTCTCTCTCTCTCTCTCTCTCTCTCTCCCTCCCCTCCTTCCTTCCCTCCCTGCCTTTCGTCCTCTCTTTTCCTCCCTCCCCTCCTCTTCTCCCTTCTCTCTCCCTGTCCCTCCCTCCCTTCCCTCCTTTCTTCTCTTCTCTCTCTCCGTCGCTCTTTCCTTTCCTCCTCCTTCCCTCTCCCTATCTCCCCTGCAGGAAAATCCGCTGGCTGCCAGCCGGCTGCTGCTTTTTCCAGAATGCAAGGTGTTACCGAAAGGAAGAATTCCCACTCTCCTGCCCCGACCCTTGCTTTCTCTACCCTGTCTCCTTCCTTTCCTCTCCCACGCTCGGGGGAACTGAGCTGGCCTTAGGGTGGGGGGCGGGCAATGAAGTTCTGCCAAGAAGATTGGATTCTGCCGCTGCAATGGGGAGGGGGCAAAGGGGTGGAGGAGAAGGAGGATGTGACCGATTCCCAGCAGCCGGAGGAGGGAGAGAAAGAGAGGATGGGGTGAGGGGCGGGTCTGGGCTGGTTGGGAGGTGGGGGCTATCCAGCGGCTGAAGACTGAGTATAGATCCGGAAGTGATGCGGCCAGTGGTCCATTGGCAAATGGATCTGAAGGGGTCGTAGGCAACGAACCCAGGGAGGGGGGAGGGGAGAAGCTCTTACAAGTGAGAGGAAAGACTAAGTATCGGGAAGAAGAGGGAGGAGCCCCGAAACTCGGATCTCAGCCCTCCTATCTAGCCTGCTGCCCCACCCAACTCCCATTCCAGGGTCTCTTCAGCTGAGACTGGAGGCCCCAGGCCCCAGTCTCTTCCCACCAAGGACACCTGTTAGCTTCTCACACTCTACCTCAGCCCCCATTGTTCTGCTTCCTCTAGAATCTGACTGTCACTACTGAACCTCCCTTTACCTACAGATGAGGAGATTAAGGACCAAGAGAGAAGAAGTGACTTGCACAAAGTCACACAGTCTGACTGGGTCTGGATTTAAGCCCAACATCACAAAATCACATATTTGCACCCAACCCAAGATGTTACAGGCAAGGAATTATAGGGTTATGGGTAAGGACTATAATTGATGCCCCAAACCACATATTTAGTATTCTTACCCCATTTGAGGACTCTTCCCCGTAAGTTTGGGATACCTCCATTATATACCATTTCTCTACCCTGTCACTACTCCAGAATTAGGAAAAGCAATGCCAGCAGGCAGCTTCTAGAGCAAAGTATGCAAAGGGCTCCAGGAAGGAAGCTTTTTGATAAAGTCACTTTTTTTTTCATTCCAGAAAATCCTATTCTGTGTCCTCAGTAAGTACTTACTTTGTGATAAATCCTTCAAAGGTTTCCTCCTTCCTCATCTCTCCCTCTGAGGATCCTTCTCTTCATCAAGGCTGGATTTAGGCACTGGCTCCCCAATGCCTTATGAACACCCAAACTTTTCATTTCTCTCTCTCCTCAACTTAGTTTATATTCGCTTCCTTGTGGATATGCTGAGTCCCTTGAGAGCAAGAATGGTTTTGTCTCTGAATCCCCACTGCCTATAACAGTGCTTTGCATGTAATAAGTATTTAATGTGAATTGAACCAAATTGAATAGAGCCATATTTTCCAACAAAGACTAGAAGTCTCCAGTGGATGGGACCCAGATGGCATGCTATTCTCAAACTGTGCCTAGGAGGTACAACTGCAGCCTTTGACTCTAGGGCACCCTTTATACAAATTCTGCCCACACCCACCACTTCTTATAAAGTCTGCTGTGATGGAAAGGTGTAACAGGGAGGACAGAGGACCTGCAGCCTAGACTGATGCCCTAATGAAGAGAAGGGGAGACAGAGGAGCAGTTCTGACACTTTCACTGCATCTTTGTCTTGTCCCATTCTAACCCATTTTTAAAAAAGAAGTGTAAGCCATCTTAAAGGAATGTTCTCACTGTGGCACTCCCCTTGCTCTTGTTCTCAGGTCTTCTGCTACCACCAGCTTCTCCCAGCATAGCATACGAAATTAGTGCTGGATTTGGCATCAGGAAGGCCTGAGTTCCAATTCTGCCCCAGATACTTACTAGCTGTGTGACCCTAAGCAAGTCTCTGGGCCTCAGTTGCAACATCTGTAAAATGAGGGAGCTGATTCAATGCCCCCAAGGTCCCTTTTAGCTCTAAATCTTTGATCTTCAGCTGCAGTCCCAGCTCTGGAATTAGGCAAATCCCTTGATTTCTCTAGTGCCTCAGTTTCCTTTCTATAAATGAGAAGAGAAAACTAAATGACTTCTAAGATCCCTTCTAGCTCGAAATATCTTCTTATGATCCAGGATCTCTGCCTCCTGATGGGGGGATTTTCCTGATCTTTGGGTGTGAGAGACATTAAGAAGGGGAGAAAAGAAAACCAAGATACAAAGGGGAGAGAAACAAGAGTGTCAGTGAAGGAAGTTACCATGACAAGCCTGAAGCTGAAACTCTTAGGGAGGGAGCTGGAAGGGAGAGGGGAGGAGCCTGAGGAGAGTATCAGAGTGAAGCAGGGCTCCTTCACAGGCTCCCTCCCTTATGCCTTGGAGTGTCAGATGCTAAAGGCTAACTGAGCAGGCTGACTGATAGATAAACAGAGAGCAAAGCTGAGTTCCTTCAGCATTCTGGTCCCTCCATCTCCCTTCAAACACACACACTCCCCTCTTGTCTTTCAATGTGGCTCTCCAAGGTTGCCTATCACTGGCAGGAGAGCCTGCCTGCATGTCTGCTTTTGTGGTGTGTGTGTGTGTGTCTGTGTGTCTGTGTGTCTCTGACCGTGTGTCTGTGTGTGTGTTGTGTTCCAACAATGGACACCCATTGAAAAGATGTACACACAAAATCTGAGCAGTGCCCATGATGCTCCCTTCTCATGGTGCTCCTCCCATAACTTCATTGTGACCACTGCCTTCCCCTCCCCAGGCACTGCTCCAGCCCCTCCTGCCACTCTCCTCTCCCTTTCTGCAGCTGCTTCAACCTGAAAGGATGCAGTCTGCATGCTGAAATTCAAATGTGACTGAGGCAAGACAACTGGGCATGCCCAGTAACTGGGGTGATTGAAGATGGAAATTAAGTGAGCTTCTAAATGTGGCAATGCAGCCCTACCTGAGATCTTGACCTGCTGGAAGGCTGAATGGCACTGGGCACTTCATCCCCCAGCTATAATGCAGCTATCAGTCTGCTGAATGGGTTTGAATTAGGAGGCAGAGATTTGCCAATGTGACCAGCTTTGATAGCCTTTATGGACACTGGAGAGTGGGAGAGGGGGGCTGTAGTCTCAAACTGAAAAGAGAAAAGAAATTAAGAAAGGAAAAAAAATGCATGGGTGTGGAAAGGAAGGAAAGGGGAAAAGGAAGAGAGAAGAAGCCTCTTGCACTTAGCACCATGGCAGGGAAATGCTGATCCATTTATTTTGTTAACAGTAGGAAAAAATCCCCTTTAACAGGTTTTGCTCACTCCAGAGCCTCACTGCAGCATGAAGGTGACACTGGATTTTCAAAGACTATGCCAGTAGGATTAGGGAAGCAGTATGGAATAGAATAAAAACCACTGGGTTTGGAAGCAAGAGTCAGGTGTAGGCTGGATTACATGACCTCTGAAGTCCCAACTCTAATATTCTGTGAGACTGAGTTTGACTTACAGCCCTGCCACTTACTAGCTGTGTAGACTTAGGAAAGTAATTTAAGATTCCTGGGCCTCAGTTTCCCTATCTAGAAAATTAGTTGGGTGGATGATATCTAATGGTCCTGTTGACTTCAGATTCCATAAATTTAAATCTAAGCAAATGGAGCATTAGACCAGAGTCAAGAAGACCTGGGCACAATTTCTGCCTTACACACTTAGGATCATAGATTTAGAGAGCTTCAGAGGCAGTCAAAGTCAACTCTCATCTCTCAGATGGGGAAAGTGAACTAGATGACCTTGGAAGTCTCTTCAAGTTCTCCTTCTATGATCCTTCCTTTAACAAAAAAGAAAACAAGCCCAGTAACATTAAATGAATTGCCAGAGGGCACACAGTAAGTTTCCAAGAAGGGATTCAGACCCAGGTCTTCCATCTCTAGAACCAGTGCTGTCTTCACCTCACCATTTTTTGTATAACCATGGACAAGTCCTTTAACTTTTTTGAGCCTTAATTTCCTCATCTGTAAAGGGGGGATAACAATGCCTCAAGTACCCATCCCACAATATGTTTGTATGTATGGAGTGAGATAATGTATCTAGCACTTTGCCAGGTACATGTCAGTTGTTTTTATGACCAATCCAGAATGGCTTTGATGACTGGCCTAGCAACAGACATAGATTTCTAAGAAAAGTATCAGCAGAAAGATGACCACCAAGTGGCCACAGTAATTCATGGAGAGTATGGACCAAAGCAGGGATGGTATGCCAATCCACTTTGGTGAAGGAGCACCCATCCTGAGGAAATCATGGAGTTTGTGAAGTACTGAAGGGAGGTTGTTTTACATTAGAGACACTGTTTTCCTCCTCACTTGAGTCTGTCATGCACCAACCCTCATGTACAAGGTATCTCATTTGTCGCACTATTCTATAAAGATAACACCTTGGATGGTATTGTTACTACAGGCCAGTGGTTCTCAAATTGTGGCACTCAGCCTACCTGGGGGTCCCCAAGACCCTTTCACAGGGTCTGCAAAGTCAAAAATATTTTGATAATAACACCAAGGGGTCGTTTGCCTATTAAAATACTTCTCCCCTTTCCAACTACAAATCTGTGTGAAGCTACTATACCCTTCAACCAAAACAATGTATAACAATAGATTGGATGCATAAGCAGGTATGACAATCTAGATATCTTGAATTGAGACTAATATTAAAGGAATTTGCAAAAAATATATTTAAAAATGCCACTCTTCTCATTTTTGTTTTATAAAATAGTTATTGTTCATAAACATACATTATGTTAACTTGTAATGGACATATTATTGTTATGTTAGAT